GCAAAAGTGCACCACATTCAGACGGAGGAATGCACCGGGTTCGACTGTCTTTCTAGCAGCTCTGAAGCCCCTGCCACGAGTAACGTTTCCACGTCAGGTGTTATGTATGCTAGCAGCAACACACGGAGTTAACTCAATGATACAAACATGGGTTAATGATTACAGGTAACTGAGTTATTTAGTTTGTTAAAGTTTTAGCTATTCTGTTTACAGTTCTGTCATCAGATTATTTAATACGATTTGTTAAAACATTGTTGTTTCTTTTGATGTGAAATATTATTTATTTAATTTAAATAATAAGCAATATTAATTTTGTTCACAGTTTGTTTAACTTATTTTTTTCTCCAAAAGAACCGATAAGAGTAAAAAGAAAAAGACCGGACCGATAAGCGGTATCGATAAAAGTAGTCTTACCGTTAAAACCTTAACGATACCCATCCCTACTTATATCACTGTTTTTGCACATACATGGATGAACTTGTAGATTTAGAGAGAGACCTCCATTTTCACGGCTTATTATACCATGCCTTGTTTTAGTTTTTATATTTTGACTATGAAAATGAGTCATTATGCTACATGTGGTCCAGCGCTCTAATACACTCTTTTTGTAGAGGGTGAATTAAACACTCAAGTTGAACCGTTAAATATAAGAAAAGTAACACCCACCACTCTGGTAATACTTGGAGTCGTGCGTCCAGCGGAAGCCGGTGCACAGGCCGAAGTCGGTCAGTTTGATGTGTCCGTCCCGGTCTATGAGGATGTTGTCGGGCTTGATGTCTCGGTGGATGAAGCCCATCTTGTGGACGCTCTCCACGGCGCAGGTGAGCTCGGCGATGTAGAACTGGGCCAGTTCTTCTTTGAAGATTCCCAGCCGGATGAGGAGGCTCATCATGTCTCCTCCGGGGATGTACTCCATGACAAAGTACAGGTTGTCCCTGTCCTGGAAGGAGTAGTAGAGACGCACCACCCACTCGTTGTCGGCCTCGGCCAGGATGTCCCTCTCAGCCTTCACGTGGGCCACCTGGTTCCTCAGCAGCACGTCCTTCTTGCGGAGCGTCTTCATGGCGTACAGCGCTCCGGTGTCCTCTTTTCTGGCCAGGCACACCTCCCCAAACGCTCCGATGCCGAGCATCTTGATTCGCTTGAACATGGATTTGTCCATCTTGGCTCGCTTTAGCCGGATGTAGTTGGACTCTTTCTGGCAGAGCATCATGCGCATCTGCTCCTGAGCTTCTGAAGACAAGCCCACCTGAGCACAGGGCAGTCAAGAGTGATTCAAATGGCCCACATCATGTCAACAAAAAGGTTGAATTTAAAACAAAAATGGAGTCCTGGGTAGAATAAGTTATAAACTGGCATTAAGGTAATCATCTGAGGACACGGTGCAAACATGCTGTTTTTCCCTCATGAGTTATAACTTCAATTTAGTCCAAAGCAAAGATGTGTGAGATGGAGTGGCATGCGTTTCCTTTGGCCACATGCTGCATTATGCACACTTATAAAAACACTAGACTCTTATCAACAACAACTTGAATAACTGAAGTGTGTGGACTACTCTGTGTCACAAGACAGCACAGATACCTTTACCTTTTTAGTTCAGCTGTTAGTGACCGCAAGGAGAGAGAAGGAGAGAAAGAACAGCTAAGAAATATAGAACAGCATGAAAGAGACACGTATAATACAGCGATGACAGCAGGGGGGAAAGTTTGGAAAGAGTAGAAAGTATTTCTTTAGGCGGCAACATTTGTATTTGTTTAACTTCATAAGAAATGATGTGATGAAGGATCTTCCTCACCCTTTGCATCTCACTTTCCAGCTGCTTCCTCCTCCGAATCCTCGTCTGGTGGTTCTTGAGGATGTTCTCCACATGCTGCTCCATGAAGAACTTGAAGGCCTGGGGGGAGTACAGAGCGACCCGTCCTGACTCCCCTCTCGGCTCTTCGTCCCTCTTGTTGCGACGCACGGGAACGGGTGACGTCGTGATTTGTTTCTTCTCCTTCTCCGTCGCTGTGGCGCTTTCTGTGGTTTTGTCCCGGGAGCTGTCGTTGCTGCTGCTCTCCGCCTCAGCCGCCTCCTCTCGGCCTGAGTTGCGCTTGTTGACCCCCGGGTCGTAGGCAGGTGGGGCGGATGCAGCCTGCTGTTGGAGGAGATGCTTGGGGTAAGGTGGAGGGGGGCCCTGGTAGCTCGGGACCTCTGCTACAACAGGGATCTGGGGTACAGGGGCTGGGGGTTCTGGGTAAGCAGGAGCAGCTTGAAGGGGTGGGGGCGGCTGCTGCATCCATGGAGGGTGCGTGGGGGCGACGGCAGTGTGGAGCTCAGGTTTCTGCACACGGATGCTTTTGACCGGCTGCAGGATGGGGGCCTGTGTGATGGCCGTGACGGTGGTGGCGGAGGGCTGGGAGCTGGACTGGTGGGCCGCCCTGCTGTTCAGCTGGTGGTTGTTGAAGGAGTTGGAGCGGGGGGGCACGTTGTGTTGCCACGACGGAGACAGGTCCTGGGTGCTGCTGTTTCCAGAGGGCTGGCTGGGGGCCCAGGACTGAGGAAGACCTATGTTGTACAGGTCAAGGTTGTAACTGTGCCTGTTGGACACCATCATGGACGTAGGGATGTTTCCACCGTTGGCGTACGAGGGAGAGGAGGCGGGTCCTCCTGAGTGCTGATCAGTGGGACTGTGCCTGCTCTGGTTGCCCGCGTACGGAGGGGGGGGCTGTCTGCTGCCGGGCGGGATGTAGTCCGGCTGGGCGGAGCCATTCTGAGACCAGCTGGGGGGGGGGAAAGTGAACTTGTTGCCCCCAGAGCTTTGCATTATGATGGGTTGGTGACCCACAGGGACCGGGCTGATCCCACGCTGATTCTGAGGGGCTGATGACTGGTACCCGTCAGGCCAGGCCCCCTGAGGCCCCGGAGAGATGCGGGCCCCGAGGTAATCCATGTTGCCGGAGTAGCGCTTGGTTGATGGGTCCCAGGATGATGTATTAGGCATGGCGCAGCGGTTGGGAGGAGGTGTGACACTGCGCACCTGAGGCGGGAGGGGAGGGTTCACTCTCTGGTTGTTAGCGGGGGGAAAGGAGGGAGGGGGCCCCGGGCTGTCTGAGCGGTATATCACTCCATCCACTATGACGTGACGAGGGGCCAAAGACTCCTTAGAGCCTTTCCAGCTCGGCCTCCTCAGCACAGGCTGCGAGATGTGAGAACCTCCTACAGACACACACAAAGGAAAATAATACAATTAGTTATAAATCTTAGAAACTAAAATAAACTATGTTTTTTTACACACTTTAAAATGTGTAAAATGCCTACATGAACACAAATAAATGATGTCCTCTCACACACCAGAGTCATGTTCACAATACATCATTTTTTTTAAACTTAGAATTTCCTAAATCAAAGTCGTATGTTTACAAGAAAAAAACACACATTTAGAAGATTAAAAAGATTATAACATTGGTAAATTAACAAGAAAAAAGTCCTTTAAAAAACTTGAATATTCTCTGAGATCATTACAAAATATTATTATTATATTACAAAATGCACATGCACTATTTTTTTTTTAAATCCACCAGTATTGATTAAAAACGAAGAAGGAGTACAGCTGTAAAACATGACTTGTCAAAAGATACAACAACAAAAGGAAAATAATGTTGTTGTTTTTTGAATAAAAGGTGAAGCAAACAAACCTAAAAATACGTAATGATACCAGCAGTGCACCTGTCGATGCATTATGTCATCATGATTGAAAACAAGAACCTAATTTCCGCTCTACTTTTTTCCATTATGTGACACAGTGACTCATTCTTTTATTGTCAGCATGTTTTGTCCTTTCTTTAAAAGCAAATGTTCCAAATCCTGCCAACAATATCAAGGTTAGATGAAAACGCCCGGAAAGGGAATAATAGAGGAAGCCTAGCATTGAGTCCCAGTGGACAGTTACATACCTGGGGCTTTCAGACCGGTAGAGTTGGGGTTGGCAGCAAGCTTCTGTTCCCTCATCGGGTCCTGGTAGATCACCTTACCACTGTAGTCTATAACTGCCCCCATACTGCGACTGTTGCTCTGTTTACAAAAGGCATAAAAACAACAGTCAACATTAAGAGTTTGGGCAATCAAAGCTTGACAGAGCGCAGATTATCTGTGAATACATTTATTGCTTGTTTTGCTAACAGTTCATTCATGCATCTTTACAGTCTTGAAATGTCATGTAGGTGGACCAAAAGAGTATTTTACTTATGGATTTATCTGTAGTTTATTTTTTGGGATTATTCAATTAATTGTTTTGTCTATAAAACATGTTGTCTTTTTTTTGCCAAAACAAACAGTCAAAAAGCAGAGATATTCAGTTCACAATGAAATAAAACTAATTCTGACATTTGAGAAGCCCTAACAAGAGATTGCTTTGTTTCATTATTTATTTATAAGAACAATGGCAAATTGTCTTTAATAGTTATTTACGAAATAAACATTTGCTCCAACTAAAAATAGTGCCCTGCATAGGCCAGGGTGCATTCCCTGTGTCAAAACAAGTGGCGACTGCCAACTAAAAAAGTACTTTGTATTGTCACCTGACAAACTCGAAATTCCACTTTGCATATTTCTCATTTTTCAAATAATTCTCCAGAAAACAAAGTGCACTTGGCTCTTATTCTCTATAACAGAGTAATGTTTAGAATCAAATTCCTCCACATTCCTTCACAAACACCTGTCTGAGTGACAAATAAAAGACGAAAACATCTTACCTCGTCGAACCCAGCGCAGGGAGGTTCCAGAGACATGTGTTTGTTCCCCTCAGGTCCTGAAGTACTCGGCTCATTGGCAAAAGGCATCAGGGACTTGCGGATCTCCTGTAAGGCCTTGTGGTAGGGGTGTTTGGGGTTGCTGCATCGCCCCTGTTGCCTTGAGTCCTCCGGAGGCATTTTTACAGCTCCTCCAGAGTCTGCTTTAGGGGGGTCCGATTGTCTGGATAAATTGCGCAGACTGTTCCTTATTTCCTGCAGCATGTGTTGGCTGTTGGCGCTGTAGTTGCTGGCAGGAAACGTTTTGGGTCTCGCCTGTCTGTATCCTTCGGGTTTCTCCCCTCTCTTCATGTAAGAGCATGTATGATGACGATGAAGGGGATGAAGAGGATGCCACTCAGTCCAGCGTAGCAGTAAAGGGTAGCAGGATGTCTGCACTCACATCTGCATGCTGCTGACAGGAATGTACAATATGAGATGAGAAAGCAACCAAAACACACGTCATGTTAACAAACAGGTTAGGCATATATGATGTGTGGAAGTACTAATTGACAGATAGTATCAGGTGCAAATAGCAAAGATGAGGCAAACTGTATGATGAACTATATTGTTAACCAGTGGTGTAAAGTAATTAATTAGATTAACTCAAGTACAATTGAGAAATGTTTGCTACTTTGTCCTTCTAGCCAACCACAAATCACAGGTAAATTGTGTACTTTTATTCCACTACATAATATAAATACCTTCACTTACTTTTCAAATGTGGATTAATTATATGAAATAGATAAAACTTAAATAAGACTTTAGTAACTTACACCTGGAGTAACATCCACAAACTACACTGCAGCATATATAGTCATTAAAACTATCTGCACCTTTACCAGCTTTTATAACACTTTAATGCATCAATATTTATAATCAAAACAAATCATATATTATTTTGAAATGGGCACATTTGCATAATTATTAATTAAGTCATTTAGATGCTTGTACTTTTGCTTCATTGGGATTTTGAATTCAGGATATTACTTATAACAGAGTATTCCTACACTTTGGTACTTCTATTTTTACTTAAGTAAAAGGTCTGAGTACTTCTCCCACCACTGATTCACGTTAAGGTTCTCTCGTTATTCAAACCTTAAGGTTAAGAAAGATTCCTCAGAATAAAGACTATTCCCAAAACAAAACACCTGTCTGTACACTTGCTAGCTTCGTTAGCAGCACAGGCTAACACAGCGCTACACTACAGCTCATTCACGAGTGGTGTGAAATAAAATGCTAGAGTTGTTTCACATATTCACCTAAATGACTTTTACTTATTAACCCAATGTTCTCCCAATATTACAATTTAACTTTGAATATAATCCAATAGGGCAGAAGCACATCCATGGCCTGTGGAAGGCATCCATTTGCTGCTATGCTAACTAGCTGCTAGCTCGGAACAGCAACAGTTAGTTAGCCGTTAGTCGCGTCTGACAACTTACCGATATCTGTAAAATCCGCTTTCTTTTGACACTTGTACTTCTTTGGCAACGACCGATATTTTCCTTGACCTTTAACGGAAACAAGGACGCACAACTTTAACTTAAAATGTCCTGGTCCTGTTGCCCTGGCTGTTCCTAGTCGTGTTGGATTCCTGGGATGTCTGAATGACAAGTACAACACAACAGAGAACGGTTCACACGAAGAAGGAATGCGACACACTTCCGGCAATGGTGGATTAAACAATAAAAGAAGGAAATTAACTCATGAGTGTTTTTGTTTTAGCATTTCTTTTTAAATTCTGCTGACAGAAAACACACGTATTTTTCAGGAACATTTAAACACAGGTCACAAATAATACAACTGTATGACCGTGGTAGTAAGTACCAATCTCCTTGAATTTGTATCTTTACCCCATTTTCCTTCAAAACAACTCTGGGCCATGGATTCCGCTGTAATGAAAAAGTATTTAACCACTTAAAATGAAATGTACACAGTAACTGCAGCTACAATGTTTGTATTATTGAGTACTGGAAGGGGGGCATTGTTAGATTCTGTGACGATCAAAAAATAACAACTAAGGAAAAGTAAATGGAGGATTACAAAGGAAACACTTAAAACACAGTAAAATGTAGCCTCTGCATTTAACCAACCCTAGTTTTAGGAGCAATATGAACTACATTGGATTCTTATTTTGAATACAAAATCTTTAATGGACACATTAGACATCTATATAAGGCATTTTTATTCATTTATTTCAAAACGTTTTAAATGAAATCCATACAAAAGTACTGTAGAGTTGAACTACTGTTCGTGGAATGATCTACAAAAACCTAGATTCATTGATGAATCCATCCAGAAATGCGCAAAAATACTGTGTATGCACCATTTTATGACATGAGAAATTCACAATTTAGACCAAAATGTCAACAGTAGACTTTTGAACACAGTTTTTTTTAGGCACCTTGTTTGATCAAATGAGACAATGTGGTGACAGCAATTGACGGCAAATAAAGAGATCTTGTTCAGTACAGAAACAACTCTTCTAAACAGGGACTTGTCTGTTGACAAAAATTGCTTCTCCGTCAGTCCCGCAGACAAGACATTGTCCAAGTACATCCAGGCTGTTGACGGACAGCGTCTGGCTGGGCAACATGTGAGTCGTCTCCACGCGGCCTTTACTGGAGTCTCCGCTCAGCCACGCGCTGATGAGGGACTGGTTTCCTCCAGCCGGGGCCATCGCACTGCGAGATATCATGCTGTTGTTCCTGCCACCTGGAAAACAACAATGAAACAATCAATTAACAAGATAATTCTGAACATAATATCCCTTGAAGGAGTTTGTGTTTTGGTTTCTTTCTTAGCTGGATTACTGGAAAACAACTGGTCGAATTTTGATGAAACGTGGGGAGAGGGTGAACCATGGGCCAAGGTTCACAATGTTATTTCAGTCTAAGAATTTCATATTTGTACATATTCACATGATAATAAAGTGTATTGTGGTTTTATTAAATGTATGTTAAGTATGTTAAATAGTTTTAGTATTGAAGTACATAATAAATGCACAACTTAGATGATGAAGTTCTAGTGAGCCCTTTTAGTTTGTAGCATTTTGCTTTGCCAGCGTTTAAGCTCAGCTCAGCTGTCTCAGTGTTTTTGTTGTTCCTCTGACAACCAAAAGATTACAGTCACAGTTGTATGACTAATACATTAAATACATATACATGTTGTGATTAAAATGTAGTTTTTAATCAAATGATTCTGCTGCAACTGCAAACTTTTAATGCAGCAGCTTGCAGATAAAATCTTGCCTTGTAAGAAGGAGGGCATGTCTGACTGTGCGGACGTCTCCCAGTGCAGCAGTGAACCGTCCTCTGAGCAGGTGAACAGATGATCTGGGTTCGACGGGTGGAAATGGACTTCCCACACTGTAAAGAAAAGCAAAGAAAAACCGTACATCAATATTAAAAAAAGCCATTGCCAAAGAGAACGATCATTTAACATAGTTAGTAGGCAATTTGATTCAACTGCCTATAGAAAAAAGGTTCCTTGCTTTGATTTAAAAATAAAGAATGTGTCATACACAAAACAATTACAGTGAAGATATTCCTTTCTTATTCACGTTGAAAACCAGTGTTAAACTAATGAGAAATACAAATGTAAAAATCAATGTTCAAGCATTTCTTTACCCCACCTTTGATGTGTTCAAAACAAAAACTGTAATACCTTTTCCTTACCCCTTACCACAGTGTCAAAAAAAACAACAGAAATAAGAAATCCAACTAAACTCTTACTTTCAGCAGAGTGAGCCTCCATGAGTGAGAAGGGTGCGCTGCCTTGTCTTATATCCCAGACACAGAGCATGCCGTCCTGCCCCCCCGTGGCAACAATGTGCTGCTGGTTGGGATGTCTGTCCACACAATGCAGAGGGACTCTATCCCCTGACCTGGAAGAAGAAGACGTTATTATAAAAGTCAGATCAGAAGAACAAATGTGGAGAAATTTGATTTTTGTTTGTGGAAATCTTACAAGGAGAGAATCTGGGATGGCGAGTTGCTTTGTTGTCTGAAGTCCCACAGCTTGAGTTGGCCGATTGAGTTCACCGTCAAAATCTCTGTGGTCCTCAGGTAGGTCACAGCATGAATCGTGCTGCTGTCCGCATTCTCTGTCAAAGTAAAACAAAATACACATTAGACACATTATAGTGTCCAACTCTTATGATCTGGAGGTGTTATGATATTCTAAACCCATGTAAAAAAAATTAAAGACTGTTTTGAATTTGTTTTGGGGCTGTTTGCTTTTTGTAATGATACTAGTATTACTTGCTCTAATACTAATAGTAACAAAAACCTTTACTGTTTTTATTCAATGAAACCACAAAGCAGCAAAAAGTAAGACAGGAGGAAAACCAACACAACTAAACACACCATTAGACAAAGGTACCAATTAAAAACAGATCAACCCTTTATAAAATGTGAAAGTGCATAGGGAGTGATTCACATAAAAGCCTATTCATAAAAGTGTGTATTTAAAGATCAAGCTGGTTTTGCAGGCTTCACATCCCTCGCTCTACCAAGTTCTCTCCCGGGATGCCCCCTAAAATGTGCGTAATTTAAAGTGACACTATCATTATGTTAACCTCACCTATGACTCTAACGACTCCCTCCTGGTCGGCTCTGAAGACGACGATCCTTCCATCTTCACCGACCGTGACGATCTCAGGGCTGCTGCACACGACCCCAGTACTGGGAGCATTGTCACATGGGTAACAATGAACTCCTGGCCAGCGCTGAGAAACTGATATCGTCTGCAGTCAACAAAGACATTTTTATATTTACCAAACCAGAAGTATGTAACATATCCAGTTTGTCCAACATTCACCTCCTTGAAGTGCAACCTATTTGCGTAGCCGTTCCCTGGTATGTTGATGGAATTTAAAGGGGACCTATCATGCAAAATGCACTTTTTCATGTATTTTATACATCAACACGTGTCCCCTCTTCTTCATGTCTCTTCTACATCAACATGTGTCCCCTCTTCTTCATGTCTCTTCTACATCAACATGTGTCCCCTCTTCTTCATGTCTCTTCTACATCAACATGTGTCCCCTCTTCTTCATGTCTCTTCTACATCAACATGTGTCCCCTCTTCTCCATGTCTCTTCTACATCAACATCTGTCCCCTCTGTGTAAAGAGACTCTGGAAGTTTCAGGAAAAAAGATTCTCTCTCTTTTTGTCCTGATCCATTTATATAGAAACCTGTCTGAAAATGAGCTGATCAGATTTTGGCCACTTTATGATGTCATNACCATGCCTTGTTTTAGTTTTTATATTTTGACATTTTGTCATTATGCTACATGTGGTCCAGCGCTCTCATTGTTTAATTCACCCTCTACAAAAAGAGTGTATGAGAGCGCTGGACCACATGTAGCATAATGACAAAATGTCAAAATATAAAAACTAAAACAAGGCATGGTATAATAAGCCATAAAAATGAAGCTCTCTCCCTAAATCTACAAGTTCATCCATGTATGTGCAAAAACACAGTGTTTCCCACAGAATTTGATTCTATTTGTGTGGGCACCGCACAGCACTTTTGCTAAATGTTTAGACAAATTGCTCGTGTTACCGCCCTTACATGCTAAACTCTTATTGCACTTTAGGTAACGAGCATTGTCCACATCGAGACGGGTAAAGTTTAACCACACCTCGGAGCGCGTTCTCTCCGCCATCTCCTCCGAGTGTGTGTGTGTTGCTGCATGTAGCAGAGTGTGTGTGAGAGATCTCTCGTCTGGATTGGAAAGATCGAAAATACTAAAAATAATCATGGATTCATTTTGCAGTCTTTTTGCGTATTAGAAACGCAGTTGGCGACTCTAAAACTGCAATATAATGTTTGTGTAGCAATAATGCATGACATATATTTTTTACATGTCTCCAGTACCGATAAAAAGACCGATAATGTCGGAGCTTAACGGTACCACAGTCTTTAATAATTCAGCCCCCGGGGCCCGTTTAATACCGGGGCTCGGTACCCATCCCTAGATATATAAGTAATTAAAAAAATATTTCAAAGTATTCAGCAGAACACAAGCAGCTTTGTATAATTGTCAGCGTGTTCCTCCTGCCAGGAATACATGTCTCTTTTGCTGTCCTTTCAGTATGAAATGAATAAGATTTTGGGGTGTATCGGCATTTCAATACCAAAAAGTCCCGATTAGCTTCCAAAAACTGACCAGACCGTGAAAGTCATTCAGTGAATATTATGGAAATCATGAAAATACTAAATGTAGGGACCATATCAAGTTGTTTACATTGACACCCTTCCTTTTATGAATTCACATGCCTGTGAAAACAGAACCCAGCTGATGGGTTTAATGATGTTTGGTGTGTCTCCAGGTGACCATGTGAGGCAGGACAGCATGGACTTCAGTAAGGAGTGGGAGGACGCGACGGACTGCCGCTGCACGGAGCGCCTGAAGCCTCTGGAGCGGAGGAAGGCCCGGGAGCACCAGCGCTGTCTGGCCCACTCTCTGGTCGGCACGCCCAACTACATCGCTCCAGAAGTGCTGCTCCGAACAGGTACAGAGGATACCCTGAAACTCACAGTATTACTAGTGTCTTTCCAGAATGTGTATTGTCTTGTTATACTAAAGGTTGAACAAGGACTGAAGGATATAGGGGAGCCAACTGTCTTCTCAAGAAGCATAAAGTAAATAACATTTGTTTGATTACGGTCATACGATCATTGCTTTATGTTAAGCTGCAATGTTGATTTGAATGCAATTCATTAGTCATTTGTATTCTTGACAGATAACAGAATCTATCCTCAAAAGTGAATGTAACATTTAAAACAGGCGTGTCCAAACTACGGCCCGGGGGCCAAATGCGGCTCTCGGACCATTTTGAATCGGCCCTCAGCACATTAAAAAAGTATAATGGAATACGGCCCACAGATTAAACTTGTGCTTGTCTTATATTGTACTTCTTAAATATATATGTACAAATATATCACACAGTATTCATGTGTTAATGAGACATCTTTTCAAACAAATTCAGTCAGTTGAAGTTGGAAAAATGTTCAAACAAATCTTTGTTGATAACAAAAAGCCCAATTATTTAAAGGTCCCACGTCACGGCCATTTCTACTGATCATAATTCCATTGTTGAGGTCTACTAGAATAGATTTATATTGTTCAATGTTCCGAACTCACATTGGTTTCTCATACAGCATCTCTGTATAGTATGTGTATTCACTCTCTGTCCTAAACGGCTCGTTGGAGCTCCTGCTAGTTCAAGCCAGATACTTGGCATCTCATCTTGGGTGCAAGTTCATCAATGTTTGGGCTCAGGCTCTGAGCTGAGGAAATCATCAGGATGGAGGGAAGGTGTGCGTGCAATATACCGGCGGATCAGATCTAATAGTAATTAGAAATTATCCTGCGGGTCGAAATTAAATCCACCAAGGGCCTGATTTGGCCCCCGGGCCTTGAGTTGACCTGATGTGGTTTAAAAAGCAAGGGGACGGGTGATAACCAGAAAAGCATGACATGGGCCCTTTATTTACATAACAAGCTTGAAATACACCTTTCCTATTTCTCCTTATTATAATCACTCTTGAGGTTTCTGGTTGAAGCGATGAGCTGCCAACACTCACAAGAATAATTTACCTAGATTTAATTAATTTTGCAAACTTATAACTGAACGTATGAGGCAGTATACCTCTAGTGAGCGGCCCAGCCCTCGGTGAAAAAAGTTTGGACACCCCTGATCTAAAACATTGCCTCCCAGATGTTGTTGATGTAAGAATGTCCTAAATCTCCTGCAGGCTACACCCAGCTGTGTGATTGGTGGAGTGTGGGCGTCATCCTGTATGAGATGGTTGTCGGACAGCCTCCCTTCCTGGCGAACACGCCTGTGGAGACGCAGATGAAGGTATGTGAAGCTCCCTCAGAGAAATGTGATGTGTCTTCAGTCTGCATTGTTCCTCACTGTCGTCTCTCTGTCACCAGGTGATAAACTGGAAGAACATGCTGAACATTCCCCCGCTGGCCAAGCTCAGCCCCGAGGCGTCGGATCTCATCGTGAAGCTGTGCCGCAGCCCGGAGGACCGCGTGGGGAGGGGCGGCGCCGACGAGATCAAAGCTCATCCCTTCTTCCAGAACATTGATTTCTCCAGCGACTTGCGGCAGCAGGCGGCGCCGTACGTCCCCACCATCGCTCACGCCACGGACACCTCCAACTTCGACCCCGTGGACCCCGATAAAATGTGGAGCAGCGACAGCGACGGAGAGGACAACCTCAACGACACGCTCAACGGCTGGTTCCGCAACGGAAAACACCCGGAACACGCCTTCTACGAGTTCACCTTCCGCCGCTTCTTCGACGACAACGGCCACCCGTACAGCTGCCCCAAGCCCATCGTGTACGAGAGCTACGAGGGGGAGGAGGCGGAGTCTGAGGCCCAGGTGGCTGCTGGGAGCTCAGCGACGCAGGGCCGAGACCTGCTGTACATTTAGAGACTAATGGAGGAGAGGAGACAGGAAAACATACTTATTCCATTTTTGCCAAGCATTAGATCAATACTACAGTTCACGGAAAATAAGTAGGCTTCATTTATATCGTTGACATTCTGAATCAATATTTAAATGCTGTTCAGTTGTGGGTTCTTCCTGCAGGTTTATTCATCTCTTCAAACCTGTTTTTTCTGCACAGTTGGAGATAGAGATAAAAATACACTAATATTATTAGTACTATACTGTTTGTTGAACCGTATTGCTGAATCGGTGAGTCGAACATTTTCAATAATTTTCGAGCATTGTCGAGTCCAAAAGTCAAATTTAGTATTTAAACGTGAATTAAAAAAAATGACTGTAGACATTCAGAGCTATATTTGAAACCCTCAAAAGAAGCTCTGCTTGTTTAAAAAAAGGACTCCCGGTACAGCTCTCAGCAGAAAACCGAATGAGCTCTGGATGTTTCTCTGAATGTTTGAAAGCGACTGTACGATGTTTGCTGCCTGAAGAATAGAAAGCAGAGTTAAATCAGGTGCTCTCTTTGATGACGTTACGCAAACAAGCCTTAATTTATTTAAGAAGTTGTAACTGGTGATGCTAGTGTAGCTGCTGTTTGAGTGTGGGGATTGTTTGTATTTCATTTAAAGGTTAGAACGTTAATTTATATTTTAATTTCTGTTGAAGTGGGGATTTAGTTTTGTGACTGGTAGACATTTGCAGGGATAAATCGCTCCAATTCATTGCTGTGCCTTTTTTTTTTTTAATATACTTTCACCAAATATACAGAGGGTTAATAATCATTTTAAAAATGAGAGTAGCAGTAGCTGATTGAACTACAGTAGGATTTGTTTTATTTTTCTAATTTATACTTAAAATGTATTTATAAATTATACAGTTGATGTAAATAGTTTATCTTCCCTGTCAGCTGATTTATTTTTCTTTTAGGGCAGGCCCTCTGTCACTGCTGCTGATTCCAGTTAATGTTGCTCTTCTGTCTCAAAACACTAAATCACAGAACTTTTAAGTATTGTTGTTAACTCATCAGCATTCAGACTTTTATACTCTTCTCCACCAAAGTACTAAGACCCCATTTACACGCAAACGAACCGAATACGATATCAAAAAAGTCTTCCGTTCACACGAGACCGAGTAAATATGCCGGGGTTTAGTGCTAGATCGTATACCTCCTGGGTTTTAGGCGGCGGAAGTGACGTAATCGTGGATGAGAAGTCGGCAACTTTTGCACATCTGGTAGTAAAAGTAGACACATTTAATTTAATTTAGCATGGGCTCTTTGCGACTCTGGAGTCCTGCAGGAATCCGGAGGACAGTGAACAGGAGTGAGAAGGAGCACACTCCTAAAAAACCTCTTTTAAAAAATAAATAAACCTCGTACTGTGTGTGTCACTGTAATCCGAAATCAAACGCACTCAGTGGCTTTCTGAGTGTTAAATCCCATCTGTGCTTTTCTTCTTGTGAGATGTCATTTTTTTTAAATGTTACTAATAGCCAGGAGGTATACGATCTAGCACTAACCCATATTTGCGGGGCCTGTAAGTGGCGCCACAAAATACACCAAAAGCAGCGAAGAAGACCCCCCGAGCATGGTTGCCATGGTTGCCCTTCTGTTTATGTCCCGCGGTGGATTTAGCAACATGTAGTTCATGTAATTCTCCACATTTAAAAATAACAATCACATGTTATTATTACCCATCATGCCTAACCACTTCATCCCATAGTACTTTACATTATGTGTGAGCAAAGGCTTCACTTCCTGTTTTTGAGAATCACTACAGCTGACTGTCATGTGTTGAGTTTTTGTTGTGCCTGTGTATTGATTTATTAAAAAAAGAAACCGGAGTGACGGTCGAGAGAACTGCTGATTGTGTAACCTGCTGTACTTTATCTTTGTGTTTTAGGAAAAGATCTTTGAATGTAGTTATGGACTTTATGGTGACCACTGACATTCTGCACTGGTTCTGTCTTTTCTTTGTAAGTGAGAGAATTATATTTGTGTACATTGTTGCTGCGGGAGTTAGAGGGTGATAAATAAAGAATGTCAACAACTCCTTTTTATATGGGCACCTGTTGTGTTGTGATAATTATTCTACTTTTTTATATTAGAGCTCCAACTAACAGTTCATTAATGTGCCAGCAGGGGGCTCCACACACACACATTCTCCTCTGACCCATGTCATGTGACCCATTGACAAACTATTCTTGCCGGATATTATAACTACATCAGACAAGGAGGGTGTCCTTTTTTGATTGGAATTGAATGTTTTTGCTCATTAATGCAAATTCAGTTTCTTTTGACTCCAAATCCAATGAAAAAATTGTGTGTCCTACTAGAATAGAAATCATTAGGTCACATGACAAGGAAGCAATTGAACAAATTAAAGATATTGCGGCCTCACCCGGTTGCATAGTTTTGAATTAAAAAAAATATATATATATATTACCTTATGAAAGTGAAGGTGGACAAAAATCCAATATAAATGTGTCCTTGTCTAGTGTAGCAACATAATTCAATATATCCAATCTGTTTATGAATAAAAGTGCCATGAGAGCCAGAAAACGTTAATTTTAAATGTTACCTCCATGGGACCTTATTACGGAAAAAGTATGTATTGAGGTCAATGGAGAGAGAAAGATTATCTTTCGATCCCGTTAGAATTGTGCCATAAATTACACATGTTTGTCAATTTAAAGGATAATTTTGCAAGTCAACATTTTTTTAAATGTGTCGTAAAACTGTGAAGTAACTGTTTTTGTGTGAAACCGCTCAATGAACTACATCTCCCGTCTCGCACCACGACGGCCGTCACGTTGGCACATTTCACTT